AAGTATTTATATATAATCTCTAATTTCATTTCACATAGTTCACAAGAAAAAACCGTCCATAAAAAAAGTATTTTTCGCTTTCTCAGATGTTCAAAAGTTTCATAAGCATATGTTTGAAGAGGAACGTATATTTTTATTCTCAAAAGACTTAGAACTATGAAGTTGCAATACAAGTTAAAAGTATTTCATTTTTGATGAAGAAAAAAACTGTCTTGAATCCGACTAAAAATGCAGTATCTACCTTTATTAATTGTAGAATAACTGAGGCATATGCTCATGCAGATGCATCTAATGCGAATGTTGATGAAGAACAAACTAGAAATGTAGATACGAGCCTACGTTGTTGATTTTGCATTCACTATTCTGGATAATCATGTGTCAAACTGAATCATTATAATACAATAAGATCAGAGCAGAAATACTGATGTCATGCGTTTATTCTTCTCTGATAATGATATATTTAGAGCTCAGATGCTATCGAATGTGAGCTATGAACCAGTGTAATTATTTACAACAGTCAAAAGTAAAAGGTTTTACACAGGATACAGGAATAAATGAGTTAGCTCAATGTTTGCTATTCAATTTGATAAAGAAAAACATGCTGACTTAATTTCTTTTGGAAAAAAAGAGAATGAAATGTGCCTCTGCACGATAAATAAGAACCGTTGCAATATTGTCTTGTATCTATCTTTAACAGTTAGATAGAAAGATCGATGATGTTACTTCTGAGTCGTGTACTCCATTTCATACATTTGATACACTCACTACGTAGTTCCTCTCAAATTAATCTTTATCTGACAGATTGGACCATTGGTAATATGAGTGATATTGCACTACAACACGATTGTCTGTACGTTGCCACCAGTATTAACAATGATAAACAGACTCATCAAATCATTTCATATTGTATCGGTGAATGGCCCTCAAAGTGGAACATACACAAAAATAATCTTGATCAAATTTTTACCTTTGCGGAGCTTAATCAACTACAGATTACTAGTCGACAGTTATATATCTGGTCGGCACCAGTGGATATTGTTGAGAGATACCAGTTTTATTTGAATCAATTTCCAATTTTGAATGAGACTTCGATGAGTACGCAGCTCTTCTACAACTGCACATTGCCACAGTTTGGTTCCATGTGTCAATATTCGATTGATGATTATGATCCTCTTCAATCATCATTGAATGAAATCATTTATCAATTTTATTCGCACCAATATGAACCGACTACATTTACATGTTACGTCCATTTACAATGTGATCGTGGTCCAACTCCGTCCTGTCTCGACTGGAGTGAAATTTGTGATGGAAAAATCGATTGCATGAATGGAGGACGTGATGAAGAATACTGCTGGCAACTTGAAATCAATGATTGTGAAAATAATGAATATCGATGTAATAATGGACAATGTATACCCTATGAATTCTTTCGTGATGATTCTCTTGTTCCTGATTGTCTTGATGGATCCGATGAAGTTTCAATATTTGATGATAAACGTGCCGACTGCCATAAAAGCGAACCAACATTTGCATGCGAAGATGTTGTATGTACGACGAATCTTCAATATTTTAATAGTCCTTTAACGAGCTCATGTGTGAAACAACGTAGTGAGTTGCTATTAGAGACGATGTTTCTGAATAAACCAGATTCAATATCTCATTCCTGTTGGTTGATATTAATATGCGTCCTTCATATTCATCCTACATGGATAAACGATGTGTGTTTGTCATTTTGTACAGCTCAAGCATGTGAAAAAATAATTGAAAAAATTTGTCCAGATATGCTTTACTTACCAGCTGTTCCAATTTTGTTTAATCAAGTCTATATTGCATACACAAACAAGAATATACATTTCTCATATTTGTTAGACAATAAACCTCACTACATCTGTTTTAGTGGCCAACTCTGCAGTCAATACTTCGTGAAATATCAACATATCATATTTAACAATACTATATGTTATCGCCCTGAGGATTTAAAGCTACGTTTTTCTTCAGTAAAAGGTACTTGGCTTCGTCTTTATGTCACACCTATATTCAAATTGCTTCATACATGCTATGAAATGATAACTAATGATTCAGCACTATGTAATAGATCAACCATGTACCAATGTATAAACTCATCTAAATGCATCTTTCGAAATCGTCTAAATGATGGCATTATAGATTGTTTTTTATCATGATGATGAGCAATTTTATATGGCCAATAATACTTGTTTATTAGAACGATTCGAAAAACATTTCAAATGTACAAAAACCAATCAATGTATTGCTCATCGGCTTGTCAATGATGGTGTGTGCCATTGTGATATATATGAGAATGGATTATGTGATGATGAATTTTTCGATGTTCACTATGCTCGAAATCATATTTCATTTCAGACAATATGTGATGGTTTTACTGAATTGATACAGATGACTATTGATGGACGAAATGAAACGGATGAAACAGAATGCGAACAATGGCAATGTAATAATACATACACACGCTGTGATGGTTTCTGAAATTGTCTCAATGGAGCCGATGAAATCGATTGTAATTCATTACCATTATTAGATTGTCCTCTTCGCCATCACATTTGTGTATCATCTGAAACGAGACAACTTACATGTCTATCAATCGAAAAAACTAATGATGGCAAAATAGATTGTCTTGGTGCCACTGACGAACCCAGACTGTGCCGACAAAATCATTATTTAGCTGTTGACAATAATTTTTACTGCAAGAATGACAACCATACAACATGCATTGTTTCTGAACATCTATGTGACCGTTTGGACAACTGCGCATATGGAGATGATGAACAAGTATGCGACAAGAGTCGAAACTTTACAAGTGATGGAAGTGTTTGTTTAGATGATTTTGCCGAGATGAGGTCTGATGTCGAAAAGTTTCTTTGTGGACGACTAAAAGATACAGCTAAACAACAGATTGTGCATTTTTCACTCGACAGTGATCGAAAATGGACTATTAACACAAGAAAATCAAATGAAAAAAAGATTCATTCACATTCATTTAGGCGTCAAATTATTCAACGTTGCCATCGTGGTTTTGATTTACGAGTCTGGTTAGACAAACAAAAGAACATCACAACAACAACATGTCTTTGTTCACCAAGTTTCTATGGTGACATGTGCCAATACCAAAATCAACGTGTAAGTCTCACTGTGCAATACCGAGCTTTATCTGATGCGTGGCGGACACCATTTGTTCTTGTTGTCATGCTTATTAACGATAGCGATGAACGAACTATACATTCTTATGAACAGTTCACTTATCTACCAATGCGAGATTGTCAAATCAAATTCAATTCTTATTTGCTCTATGCAACACGGCCAAAAAACCATTCAAAAAACTATTCGGTACATATCGATATCTATGAAAAGTTCTCGTTAGCTTATCGTGGAAGTTGGCTATTGCCATTGAAATTTCCATTTTTGTCCGTGCATCGTCTTGCTGTTCAATTAGATATACCACACAGTCTTGACAGTATCAAAAGTTGTTCAGATCGACAGCGTATCTATGGGCATTGTGTTAGGTATTCGAATAATCAGGATGGCTCTACTTTTTGTCAATGCAATCGAGGTTGGTCTGGACGATACTGTACAATTCCACACACTTGTACGTGTTCTTTTGATTCTCTATGTGTTGGTATATTAGTTAATAATCGATCTTTGTGTGTTTGTCCGATTAATCGATTCGGTCCTCGATGTTTGCTCGACAATACATTGTGTGAACTTGATCAAAATACGACATGTCTCAATGGTGGGCAATGCATTCCAATTGATGAACATATTGTATCTGAAAAAAAATTCACATGTATCTGCTTGAAAGGTTTTTCTGGAGATAGATGTGAAATAGCTGATAGTAAAATCATCGTTTCATTTCACAAAAATATTCCTCTTTCACAAGCAATGCTTATACATTTTATTCGAGTGATCGATAATGCGCCACCTGAACGTGCGACTACTTTCAAAACAATTCCTGTTCATCAGAACTCAATTATTATTTATTGGTCACGCCCATTTCATCTTGTCTTTGTCGAACTCTTTAACAAAAGTTACTATTTAGCTGTTATTCAAAGAATATTCTATCCATCAACAACAATTGTCAGAAAAATCAATTCATCGAATCGTTGTGAACACATAAACGGACTGTCTAATGAAACAATCATCAAATTACATCTTCTTCGTCGTATCAAATATTATCATGTTCCATGTCAACGACATTCACCAAAGTTATCTTGTTTTTATGATGATATTCATCTTTGTTTATGCAATAATCATGGTTCACATCGTGTGGCTAACTGTTTTGAATTTGATCATCATATGAAAAGTGATTGTCTTGGTCGCAGTGGTTGTGAAAATGGAGCTCAGTGCTTTCAAGATAGTTTAACTTGTGCACAAACATCGATTTGTGTGTGCCCAGCTTGTTTCTATGGAGTACGATGTCAATTTAGTACCAGTGGCTTTGGTCTTTCACTCGATACCATTTTGGGTTATCACATTATACCACATCGCAGCATCCTACATCAGTCATATGCTGTACAAATCAGTGCAGTTTTGACTGTTATCATGGTTATAGTAGGACTGATCAATGGTGTTCTCACTTTGATCACTTTTCAAAGTAAGAAATTACGTGCAGTCGGTTGTGGTTCGTATTTGATAGGATCATCGATCACTACTCTACTGACAATGACTCTGTTTGGTATCAAATTTTGGATACTTGTGAGTTCACAAATGGCACTGACAATCAATCGATTCTTCTTATATATACAATGTCTATTGATCGACTTTCTTCTGCGCATTTGTCTCAGTATGGATCAATGGTTAAATGCATGTGTGGCTGCCGAGCGCGCAACAACTGCTTTAAGCAAAGTTAAATTTGACAAGAAAAAGAGCAAGAAAGTAGCTAAATATGTGATTATTACTCTTCTTGTTTTGACAATAAGTACAGCTATTCATGATCCTATTCACCGACGCCTTTTTGACGATGAGGATGGTGAAGTCAAACGGATATGGTGTATTGTGACTTACAAGTCCAGCTTTCAACTCTTCAATTCGGTTAGTTATCTCTTTCACTTTTCTATTCCACTTTTCATCAATCTAATCTCGGCTCTAATCATCTTGAGATCAAATGCTAGACAAAGAGCTATCGTTCAACCTCATCATACTTATCAACAGCTGTTGCGTCTACAATTTCAACAACACAGTCGTCTGATTATAGCTCCGTTTGTCTTGGTCATTCTTGCTGTTCCACGTGTGATTCTTTCTTTTGTTTCTGGTTGTATGAAATCAGCTCATGATTCATGGTTATTCCTTATCGGATATTTTGTTTCATTCATCCCACCGATGGTCACACTTTTAGTTTTCATTTTACCGTCAAAATTATATAAAGAAGAGTTTTGCAAGATTATCAAGCGTTACTGGAGGATGATATAAATGTGTTCTATATCTCGTTAT